AGGTGATAGGCGCTTGTGTTATTTACTAATAATTATTTATTGAAAAGAGTGGCCAGTAAGTGCCCCGGGTCATCAGATGATAGGCACTTGTGTTATTTTAATAATTATTTATTTAACAGAGTGGCCAGTAAGCGCCCCGGGTCATTAGGTGATAGGCGCTTGTGTTATTTACTAATAATTATTTATTTAAAAGAGTGGCCAGTAAGCGCCCTGGGTTATTGGGAACATTTAATTTAATTTTAGCTGGTCCTAATAAAAGTGTAATGATGGCTTTGATTGGAGGAGTCGCGGCTCTTCTTAGTTTTTATTTGAACTCACCGAGTATTGTTAATCTTTATGAAAAAGTAACGAGTTATTAATATAGTCTTGCTCGTAGGATTGAGGAGTCTTGCTATTCTTTATCGAGGTGCAGCTATTGTTGTTGATTTTCTTGAAAAAGCAGTGAGTTTTGATAGTCTTGCTTGGAGGACTCGTGACTCTTGCTACTCTTTGTCGAAGTGCAGCGAGTGTTGATAGTTTTGATCAAAAGGCTCAAGTTTTGTTAGTTTTTCTCAAAAACCTGTGTATATTGATAGTCTTGGTCAAAAAGGAGCAGTGAACGTTAGTATTTGTCGAAGCTAAGTGATTGTTGATAGTTTTAGTCAGAAGTCTTCACTATCAATAGTTTTCGATGAAATTTATTTAATGCTTTTTTTCTTCGGAGCCGTCGATATTATGTTGTGTATTATGTTATTAAACTCAGAAACGCGTGTCAACAGTCGGGCTACTATACTTTGACTATTTCAGCGTTAGGTATATATATAAGAGTAAAGCAAACGTTTCCGGTCCGCGACAGGTTTTTTTTTTTAATTTTTTACTCGGTCAGTGGGACAGACAGACAGACAAACTTTCGGACCGGCTTTTCATTACGTGTGCGTATTATACATACCCATAGAGGTAAAGGAGACGGGTGAAACAGCGAAATATATGATGTCTCGTATGGCTGTTTGCAATGAGAACAATATGTTATGAGTATGAGTGTATATATATATACCTACCTCTCGTAATTATTCACGTAAAATCGCGTTCTTAACTTTGCACGGCACTTCATCAACGAAATGACAATACACCTTCACATAGAAGAAGAGAGGCATTTTCTATTATCTTCATCCCTGTTGGGTATTTTCGATTAAATACGTGTGTTCCCTTATACGGGTACAACGTGCGGATCAATCAACTAAAAGTATTTTTACAAAAGTAACGGGCCACTTTTCATTATGGATACACAGAATCGAAAAAAATCGGTAAAATTAATTAATCAACGAGCCAAAAGTGATGATCCGCGGTTGCTTGGTATACAGCGGGTGGAACTCGCAAACGCATCACGTATACATAGGTATCCGATGGAAAATTTATATTCACGCTCCTGTACATGAACGCGCGCGCGTACAGTTCGCTCAACCCAGATAGGGTACGTATATATAGGTTCATTATTTATATACACTTACGAGGTGGAATCCAAATCATTCCGCTAGCGTAATATATACTTGTAGGTATATATGTATTGAAGTAACGGAGGGAGGGAAAAGGGTATAATATACAATGCAGGTGCACACACCACACACACACCGTACTTACACATTTTCAAGGTATACTCGCACGCGTAGACACATGTATAGGTATATACACTTGGAAATGAAACATAATTGCCAAGAGCTCATCATCACCCCACCTGAGAAATTAATGTTAAGTACCTATATGTATATGTATGGTGAACCGAGTGCGTGACTGTCACCTCTTGTGTGTACCTACAGCGAAGAATACCAATTACGCGTGTGTACGTACATATATGTACATATACATCGAGAAGCGGAATGCGGAAGCGGTGAATGTTACAACTGCAGGGCGGTTGAAGGGAGGTCATTGTGCGATACGCGTTTCGATGAGGGCATATATAGGGCAGTTGGTTATAACTAGGTGTCTTTACCGCCTCTGAATTTTTCTCTACTTTTGTCCATCGAGTCAATGAAAAACGAAAGAAATTGATTAAATTCCCCCACCCCCTATAGGTATAACAATTGAGTCAAAATTATTCATACAAAGACCCGGTCTTATCCTCAAGGGTTAATTGTGTACGGTAGATAATATATACTCTTCGTGCGCTAAGGGAGAAATCAAACGATGGAAGCTACGGAGTTGCCGCGGAGAAAGCGAATAGGTCCGACATAGAAACCACGCATCTTCCCCAGTGCAAATAGATACAGGAAGGGGGGAGGAGGGTTCGGTCCCACAAGAGTACACGAGATAGCCCCAGATCGGTGCCAATCGAAAGTGCAAAAGTAGAAGACGATATCCGCCAAGGGCACCGCGAAAACGCGTGTACAAAGTACATGGGATACGTATAAGGTTTCCGCGTGATGGTCGTGAAACCGCGTACGAGTATATAATATTATACACCCGCAACTCGACACTCCTCCTCCGGGTGTTTTCATTTCTTTGATTAGGCTGATGTGCGCGCGGGTGAGCGAAGCCGCAAAACGTTGAGGATCCGTGTTTATAAGGTACACGTGTGCCTCGTGAAAGGGGGATAATCGCTTTCACTCGTTTGGCCGTTGCTGGGCCCCTCTTTCAGTGTACATATTTATACGTCAGCAGATGTTGTGTTTTAGTTTTATTTTATACAGGACGAGAGTCACGAGAACCACGGATATGAGATCTCCTCGTAGTGCGGGGTGTTGGCGCGCGCAAAACGATTTTCCATTACAATATACCGATACTCGCTGCTGGAGATCGGTAAAAGATCGGTTGTTGTTTTTTTTTTTTTTTTTTTTCACACGCGTAGACTCACACCCTGGTGGTCCAGATTGATTAGCAGTGGAGTCGATGTCTTTTAGTCACGGCGTGAGAAATCGGTTGCTCCCGAGGAGTCATGTATATTCATGCAGTGCATCTACATATGTCACGCGCGTATGACAAGCTGTTACATGGCTCACGCGGTTGTGCAGCGCGATGGGGAAAGAGAGATAGAGTCGAGAGCCATCGGATCTAAAATGAGATCTGCATCTCGTGTATACTACGTGCATAGGCAACTTGACGCGGTGTTTCTCGCGCGCAAGTCTACACGTTTTCTTACATACGATTTATTGGGACGGCATTCTTCGAGTGGCTGAAAATCAACCACGTCATTTACGAACGGGGTGCCCGTGGAAGTCAATAACCATAACAGTCACAAAATCGAAGGGGAAGTTTTGCAAGTATACCGTACCGATTTCTTTGCGATCGTATAACCAACGGCAAATTTTGACGATTTTTCACGCACCAGAGACCTTACATCTGATTGTCTAGCAGCTCCTCGATTTACTTATCGTTCAAAAAACGCAGAAATCGTCCCCCCCACGTGTTACCCGATTTTTCTCCTTAAAGGCCTTTCCCATCTAGCCCTTCATGATAACCAAGTACTCGTAAATAATACCTAGTGTAGCAGAATAGACATGATGGGTAGTTGCCCACAGTAGTATATATACGTGCACAACGATGCGCAGCTGCGCCAGACGGACAGTCAGACGCTTAATAGGTATACCCTTACGTACTTATATGGAGACGCAAGAGACACATAACGGTCGGCTATACTACAAGTACCTGTACGTGTACTCGAAAGCACCTCTTTTCACGTACTTTGTATGTAATATACCTGCACGTGCTTGCGTATGAAGTAAGGATGTTATGCAATGTAAAAAAATGGAGCAAAAGTCGGTTTTGTAAAATTGACAGTGGTAATGGTGAAAAGGGAATAAAAAATAATAATAAGTTGCGATACGCACCTTGGGCCAGCAAGCCGGCCAGCAGGAGCACGACGATCTTCCTGAGCTCCATGTCGGGTGTTTGCTTAGCGCGCGATTTCTCGCCCAGTGCGGCTCGTCGATCGTGTAAAACCGTGTCCTCTGCCGATTTTTCTTTTTTTTGTTCCGGGTT